TGGCGGTTGGTGGTGGTGGTGGTGGCGGTTGATGAGAATGAAGAGGTGGTGATAAAGTGATACCATCGAAAGATACAGTGTAACTGCACGCTGTACACACACACACACACACACGCACGCACACACACATACACACACACAGAACATACACACACACACCCTTACACACACAGAAAACATGCACACACGCGTCACACCTCGCGTCCTTCGATGGTGTGCGTTTTGCCGGTGCCGGTCTGTCCATATGCGATGATGGAGCCGTTGTACCCCTCCAGCACGGACAGCACCACGGGCTTGATGGCAGATGTGTACAGTGCCTCCTGCGTTGACGACGGCGTGTAGATGCGATCAAACACAAATCGGTGCGTCTTGTTTAGTCCAAACTCCGCGGGGCGGTCAATCAGCACCATCTGTCACGTTGGAGTGGGGAGTTGGGCGTGAGCACTCAATACAAGTGGTACTTGCGCGTTTGCGTCTTTGTGTGTGTGTGTGTCTTTGTATTTGTGTGTGTGTGTGTGTGTGTGTATCTTTGTGTGACGTAGATACACACACACACACACACACACACACACAAAGATACACACACACACGCACACAAAGATACACAGACACACAAGGTGAAGAGGAACGAAGTTGTTCTCGATTCAACGCACACTGACGAGACCCATCCATCTACGCCTCTTCCAACCAACCTGATCGTTCTTGATGGTGAGGCACTCTGGCTTCCCTTCTTCACGCTCGATGATGGGGCGCACGCGCACCACCACCTGCATCGCCGCCAACGGTCATCGTGAATCGAGGACAATGCCGAGCAGGCAAAGATGAACGAGGCAAGCGCAACCACAGTGTGTCACGCACACACACACACACACACACACACACACACACACACACACACACACACACACACACCACACACACACACACACACACACACACACACACACACACACAAGCGTGCCGCACACGCACGCACCTTGAAGTTCTTTGTCTTGGAGTTGTCATCGTCTTCGTTGTCAAACAGGGAGTCTGTCAGCTCCAATTTCACCGCTGCACATGTGTTGTGTGTGTGTGTGTGTATGTGTGAGTATGTGCCGTGAGTGGGAGTTGCATGCATACTTGGCACTGCACACACAGACACTGAGTCGCACACACGCACATTCACACACACGCACACACACACACATACACACAAGCACACACACACACGCACACACATACACACAAACGCACACACACACGCGCGCGCACGCACGCACACACGCACTTACCTCCGCGTGATGGAGCAGCAAACGCAGGTGGCCGCGTGCCAGCCATAGTGCCGCCCCTGCTCAAGGCACACGCCACTCACGCGCACGCACACACGCACACACGCAGCCGTTGCGTGCTCCCTCTCTCTCTCTCTCTCTCTCTCTCTCTGACCGCTCTCTGTCTCTTTCTCCTGCTTGTGTCCTTGTCCACACACACTCTCTGGCTGGTGGTGGCGTGCTTCTCTTCGCACGTCCTCAACCTCTCCTTCCTTCCTCCACACCTCTTCTGCTTTCGTATCGGCTGTTGTTTGTGTGTCGTCTTCCCAACAACATCAAAAACTGCCGCCAAATTCAAATGGTGTGTTCGTGTGGTTTGTTTGCCTTGCCCAAACGCTTTGCAAGCTTGCAGAAGACACCTTTCCTCTCTTCCCTTCCACGCCTTCACCCTCTCCCCCCCCTTCTCCTTCCCTCACCTCTCACTCACTTGTGTTTGTCGCGTCGCTTGCGCATTTCTTCTTCCCACACAAGATCTGTATTGGAGTCTTCTTGCTTGAAACAGAACAAGAGAGAACTGAACATGCACTCACGTAGTCAAGTAACGGAAGGGAGGAACGGAAGCAAAACAAAGATGGGAGGGGAAAGCCACACAATCAACAGAACACTTCAACAAGCAACCGCACGTTGTGATGTGACACGCAATCTGGAGTTCATGCCACACACACACATTTACACACACACACAAAACATCACACATCACACAAACATCACACATCACACACCCTCTCTCTCCCTGTGTTTATGAGCATGGGGGTGTTTCTGTTGTCTCAACAACAAGGCTGTAGATGGGGTTCTTGCCGTCCTTGCTGGCGATGGTGACATAGTGGTTGCCGTTCCTACCTGCCGTGGTGGTGACAACACCGCTCGTCTCGCCATTGCGAAGGCGCGTGAGGGACACCTGCTTGCCACGGCGGTTGCGAATGGACAAGTTGATGTCGCCGACGGTGCTGGGCTCAATCTCAATGGTCGCAGTCACGGTCGCGCCCTTGCACGTCTCAAGCTTGTACCAGTCCTGCTCCGTCTCGCAGGCGATGGCATAGATGGTGGTGGAGAGAGGGATGTCAGAGGCGCGACGCTTCTTGTTGTTGTTCTCGTACTGGTCGTTCTCCGGGCACGTGAGCGGTGGGAACGCGCTTGTGGTGGCCACGCTCGTTGTCGTGCTGAAGTCGCAGCCGGTGATGGTGACGGCCACCTCGTAACCGCCGCTGCCAGAGTAAGGGAACACCTCCAGATAGTAGAACCCGCCGTAGCCGCTGTCCGTGTACGCCACGAGCTCGTTGGGCGTGTCTGTTGCGCCCACGGCAACATATGTGCCGTCAGGGGAGAACAGGAAGGCGTCAAAGTCGCCCGTGCCAAACGTGATGCTGATGCTGAGGGAGCCGCCAGGACACACGCGCGTGCGGTACCAATCAGCCTCGCCAGGGCACAGGTGCGCGGAGAACGCCGTGTCGCCAAGCGGCAGCGCAGTGGCGTCCTGGAAGTGGTTGTTTGGCTCGTACTCGTCGTTGCTGCAGCCCACCTGCGTCGTGGTGGATGTTGGGAGCGGGGTGTACGTGACGGTGGTGCGCGGGCCCGGGGAGATGCTGCCGCTGATGAAATACTGGCCAGCAGAGCCATAATCGGACGTGATGACGCTGCCGTCGTACGTGCCGTCAACTTCGAGGTAGTACGTGCCTGCAGGCAACAGCGCCGTTTGGATGGTGGCCTCCGTAAAGGAGGAGGGGTTTGCGGCGTCCACCTCGCTCGACGCGCTGTCGTACAGCGTCAGCTTCACGTCCAAGTTGTTGCCGGGGGTGCGGGACAGGGCGAACCACGGCGACACAACAACGTCAATCGTGCCGTCCACAGCCAGGGTGATGGCCCACCAGTCCTTGTCGTCACGATTCAGAATGATGCCCTTGCCCTCAAAGTCCGTGTCTGTGAGGAAGCGCACAGCAGCCGCGGTGCCTGGCCGGTCGCCAGCCACATCGGCCACAAACCCGGTCTGTGCAGAGATGATGCCAATGTCATCCTCCGTGTTGGTGGCGCCATCGTACTCGCCGTTGCTCCACTGGGACCTGAAACACGCAAGACGCACACGCCCCGACACAACGTGAGCACACAGGCGGGTCTTGGTTCTCAGGTCACGAGCAAACGAGAGAAGGCGCTTCGATTCATAGCGTACATGCGCGCAAATGCAGAATGAAGCAGTTCAGCATCGACTTACAATGCCCTCGTGTAACCCGTTCCCATGAGGGGTGCCCAGCTGGTGTGTTGTGGTTGTAGTTGTGGTTGTAGTTGTGGTTGTAGTTGTGGTTGTGGTTGTAGTTGTGGTTGAGGTTGTGGTTGAGGTTGTGTTCAGGGATGGTGAGTGAATTGAATTGATCTGAAGGAGAACGAAAGGAGGTGTGATGATGCACGTAGTTCAAGCCTACACCACGTTTACAAGCATGCACGCATGCATGCAAGCAAGCACAACAAGCAAGGGCGCTATTCCTGCATACACACACCTTGTGAAGTAGTTGCCGTCAAAGCCACCGGCATATTCGTCGCCATAGTAACCGTCGTGGCTGAGTCCAAAGTTGTGCCCAATCTCGTGGCTCGTGGCCTCTGTAAAAGTGGGGGTGGGGGATGGGAGTGTGAGACGACGATGGTGGTACAGTGGTGGTTTGGAGGGATGGATGTGAACGCAAACGCAACGCAACAGATCAAAACGTTGTGCAAAGGACACAAAGACAACTACAGAGACAGACAGACACACACGCACACACATGCACACATGCACATGCGACAAGACCATTCACGCACCTGCAACGTAGTCGTTGATGCCACCGCCCAGGTTATCATAATCTGAGAAAAGGCACGCGCGATGGCGGTGAGTGAGTGAGTGAGGGAGTGAGTGAGGGAGTGAGGGAGTGAGTGAGTGAGTGAGTGAGTGAGTGAGGAAGGGATGCACAGGGATAAGGCGCACACAAACAGCTTTACAAACAGCTCGCACACACACGTGCACACGCACACATCCACAAATACACACACATACACACAACTACACAAGAATACACACACACATCCACACAAATACACGAACACGTCAAAAATACGCACACACACACACACTCACAAACGAGGGCTGGGGAGTAGTAAGGGAGGTAGCGGCTGTTGAAGACGTCGAGCACGGCAACGCCACCGGCCGTGTCATATGGCATGGGGCTGCCACCGACTTGCACGCTCTCCGTGATGAGGGCGTGGATGCTGGTGGCTGTCTGAATGTCGAATGGCTCCGTGGTTACGTCCACATCAAAGGGGGCGTAGTCCTCGGCAACACGCGCCCAGATGAGCGCAATCTGGCCCTGCTCGACGGCATTGAAGGCCAGGCCGTCGTCGGACGGGTCGTAGGGGCCCGCGGTGAACCCGCCCCAATATGAGGCGTCGGGCAGCCAGTGCCCGTCAAAGTCAAGGAAGATGACGTTGCGTGACCCTTTGCGGCTGTGGTAGATGGGCAGGCCGTTGGCGTCGTAGCGGTTTGGCGGGTGCACCTTGAGAAACCGGCGGCCACGGTGGGCGGCGGCGCTTGCCTCGCCAACGCGCGCGTCATCGTTGTTGCTGCTGCTGTCGCCACCGCCGCCCTGGTTGCCGTCGTCGACGGGCGGGATCTCAAACGTGTCCACGAAGACGAGCTCGCCGTTGGGGCCGAAGCGGATGCTCTCTGCATCTGCAACGGTGAGGTGGTGGGAGTCCATGTTGGCCATTGCGGTGTCCTTCGCCTCCGGGGAAAGAGCCTCAAGCTGGTCGTGGATGATGGGGATGTGGTGGCAGTTGGCAGACGTCATGCGCTCCACAGCAGGACCGTTGTCGTTGTTGTTGTTGTTGTTGGTGCTGGTATCATCTCCGTCGGATGGCAGGGGCGCGGCGAGCGTGGCGGGGTGTTTGCTGCCGCTCAGGCACAGCAACGCTGCCATGACCACCGCGGCAACAAGCCAGCGGGAAGCAGCCTTCGTCATCATCATCATCGGCCTCCTCCTCGTCAGCGTCAGCGTGTCTCTCCTCTTAGTGGTGCTGATAATGGCCGTCGTCGTCATCTGGGGATGGATGTGTTGGTCGATCGGAAAATGGCGGTCGCGCGAGTGCGTGTGTGTTTGGTCTGGTGTTTCGCTCTACCGCAAATTGCATGGCGTGGCTTGCTTGCTTGGCTGGGTTGCGTTGTGTGGTTGCCGTCGCTACTGCAGCAATCGGTAAGCAGCAGTGGAAGGACCGCAAAATTCACGTGCAGCATCGGTACAGCGTTGGGAGTGGTGAGTGTGGCGTTGCTGACAAGGCGGTGGCGAAGGGCTTCGATTGCATGCAGGCACACGACCATCCGTTGTGCAGTTTATGGTGTTTGGAACATGGAACGAGGAATAAAAAAAAAGAATTGGATGGGGGACTACAACTGACGACATCAGAGATGGGTGGAAGAGAGAGGTGGAGAGGAAAGCATGGTGGGAGGTGGGTGACCGGACGATTGCGCGAACACACACACGAGTACACGCACACAAGAGAGTACACACACACACACGAGTACACACACACACACACACACACACACACACACACACACACACACACACACACACACACACACACAATCACTCGTCGTCGTCGCCGTCCGGCTCAGCAAACCACCAGCGCTTTGCAGCGTTGGAGATGTGGGGGCGAGCCTGCTTCCAGGTGAGACCAGCAGCCTCAAGCTCAGGGATGCACTCCTTCTGCACGTCAATGTACATCCACTTGAGGAAGCGGGCAATGTCCTCGCCCACACCACGCTCGCCGCCACATTCCTGCGCGCCCTGCTCGCACCGCCGCGCGGTCACAGCCACGTCACGAACAAACGCCGTCATGGAGGCAGGCACCTCCGTCTTCATCTGCGCAGGCTTGCTCTGCTTCTTCACCGCGTGCTCGTCCACCTTGGCCTTGAACATAAACGCGGCGTGCTGGTGCATGTAGCGCTGGGGCACGCCGTCCACCATCACCGCCGTCAGCACAAGGCCCTCGCCACGCCCCTCCACGCCAAAGGTTGCGTGCACCCAGGGGTCACGCACGCCAATGCGCTCCACAGCCTCGTTGATCCATGCAATGGAGGCTGCGTTGCTCTCCTTGTGGTCGTTGCCCGTGTGCACGCGCCACGTGTTCTTCATCTTCACCTTGTCCTTCTTCTTCTTTTGCTTTGTCATCGTCGACTCTTCTTCCTGCTGCTGCTGCTGCTGTTGTTGTTCTCCAGCTTCCTGCTGCTGCTGTTGTTGTTGTTCTCCAGCTTCCTGCTGATCTTCAACTTGCTGCTGCTGTTGTTCGTCCTTCCCTTTGTTTTCCTCGCCTTCCACCCGGTCCTTGGTCTCGACCATCTCCCCTCCTTCCACTGCCTTCTTCTCCGTCTTCGCTTCATCCTCCCCGTCCTTGTCGTCCTCTGCCTGCTCCCGCCCCAGCATGATGTCCACCGCATCACCGTGCCACGGCAGCACGTGCACAGCGTCGTTGCGCTCCAGCACAGGCTGCAGATGCTGCCGAATGTCTTCCGGTTCGACAAGCACCTCCATCGGGCCGTGGTAGTCAACCTCCCACATTGTCTTCATCGTCGTCTTCGTCGTTGCTGTCGTGGTTCCTGCGGTGGCAGCGGTGGTGGTTGCTGCGGTGGTGGTGGTCGCACATGCTTCCTTCTCGCCTTCAGTGGCTGCTGCTGTTGTCGTGGTGGTGGTGGTGGTTGTCGTGGTTGTTGTCTTCTCTCCCGTAGCAACCACGGCCTCCTCCACCCCCTCCTCTCCATCAGCATGGTCCTTGTCTTCGATGGCGACGATGGTGGGCTTGGCCGGCAGCAGTCCGACAGCAAACACACAGAAGACGCGCGTGCCAACACCGCAGATGGCATCGCCCTTCTGAATGCCCTTGCCGCACCACTCCCCAAACACAACGCTTGTGCGTGTGGTGGTGGTGGTCGTCGTCGTCGTGGTGGCCGTCGTCGTCGTCGTTCTCGTTGTTGTCGTGGCTGTGGCTTCGCTTGCAGCTTCATTCTCAGTGGCAGTGGCAGTGGCAGTCGCGGTGGTCGTGGCGTGTGTGCCCTCAGTGGCCCCTTCCACCGCACCCTTGCCTTGCATGCGCAGGGCTGTCCAGGACTCGGCAGTGCTCTGCACCCACGCGTCAAAGCCGGCGTTGTCAAACCCGTTACCGAGGATGTTCTTGCGGCTCTGCGTGACGAGCGTGCCATCCGGGTGCACCTGCACTGCGGCGTTGGTGCCGTGCAGCTTGACCTTGGCGCGGTAGGTGACGCTGGCGGGGGTTGGCAGGGCCTTCCGACAGTCGCGCGCAAGGCCGTTGAGGTGGTCGATGCTCGGCCACTTGACAAACTGCGCATAGAGGCGGTCGTTCACCACGTGCACGGTGGTGGACGGCCCGTTGTCCTTGCGCGTCTGCCAGAACCCCTTGCGTGCCTGCTTCTTCGTCTTCCTGCGGCCCTTGCCTGCAGCCGCCTGCTTGTCCTGCTGCTGCTTTGCCAGCCACGCGGAGGTGGTCACCGCCTCCGGGGTCTCGTCGGCGGGCACAAACACGCCGCACGACCACACGCCCACCACGCGCGTGATCTGCACCAGCTCGCTGCTCCCCTTGCGCATCTGCCCGGGGCGCAGCAGCACATAGCCGTGGATGTCCTCAGGAGCGACGTTGGAGACCACCTCAAAGGTGGAGTGCGCGGTCGGCACCGTGTACACGAAGAGGTGGTTGTCGGCGTGCTCGTGCAGGCGCACATGCGCGTTCACCTCCTCCACCGGCTCGCCAAACACGCGCACCTTCACAGCCGTTGCCGTGGCGGTGGTGGCTGTGGTCGTGCTTGCCGTGCTTGCCGTCGGTGTGACACCGCGCTCCTCACGCTGCTGCGTGTGTTGTTCCATCTTGGGTGGTAGTGTTGTTGTTGTTGTTGTTGTTGTTGTTGTTGTTGTTGTTGTTGTTGTTGTTGTTGTTGTTGCTGCTGTTGTTGTTGTTGTTGTGTTGTTGTTGTTGTTGTTGTTGTTGTTGTTGTTGTTGTTGTTGTTGTTGCTGCTGCTGCTGTTGTTGTTGTTGTTGTTGTTGTTGTTGTTGTTGTTGTTGTTGTTGTTGTTGTTGTTGTTGTTGTTGTTGTTGTTGTTGTTGTTGTTGTTGTTGTTGTTGTTGTTGTTGTTGTTGTTGTTGTTGTTGTTGTTGCCGTATGGACTGCTTGTCGTTGCTGAGGGGAAGGCGTGGCAGTTGCGGATGAAGAGGATGAGTGGGAAATGACGTGTGCGAGGAGGGTGTGCGAAGATGGTGCACGCATGCACCGCCTCACGGTATGCCACGTGGTCATACCAGTGCGGTGGTTGTTGTTACGCAAGGTACGCGCATATCACATCACGCACGCGTGTAACTCGCACCCATGCGCTCGCGCGTGTTGTTGCTATTCGTGTGTCTTGGGGCAAGGGCCGTAACTCTTGTAACTGTGTGCGTGGTTGTTGCCAAAACAGGAAATGTGGTTGTTGTAACTTGCCACGAGCTGACACGGCATGACTTTTTGTGGGCGTGGCATGTTGTCACCAACAGAGACATTGGCGTTCTTGCCAGCTTCACACACACACACACACACACACACACACACACACACACACACACACAGTGGCTGGTGAGAGCGCTGTTTACAAGAGGCGAGAACGGTGATGTGAGACAACGCAGACGAGACGAGACACAAGAGCTGAGAAGGGAAGCAGGCAGGCAAAGAAGCAAGAAAAGAAGACGAAGAAAGGACGAAGAAACCAGTGCGGGCACGGTACAAGGCACAGGTTCACGATGATGTGACAAAACGACGCTAAGACAGGATCGATAAGGCACATGGAACGTGCATGTCTGCGCATGCAAGTGCACGTGCGTGCATGTGTGTGTGTGTGTGTGCGTGTGTGTGTGTGTGTGCGTGTGTGTGTGTGTGTGTGTGTGTGTGTGTGTGATTGTGGTGGCGGCAAGTAGCCATAGCACAGCCACTATGTGACCGCTGCTGCTCAGACATCGCTGATGGGGAGGCCTTCCCAGTCGTCCTCGTCCTCGTCCGTCGTCGTCAAATCAGAATCAGACCACTCCGGCGCCTGCACACGTCAATGCAAGACACAACACACGCGTTGGGGATGGGGAAATGAATGGCAACGTTGCATGGATACAAGCATGCACACACACACACACACACGCACGCTCATGCACATACACGCACGCATACCCTCTTTACCCACATGCTTACCCCACCCCACCAAAATCACACAACAAACCACCACCACCACCACGATCCTTGTCACCACCATCACCTGGGAGATGGTTGAGTCCTGTGCGTTGAGCGGGGCCGGCACAGCGCGCGCAACAACGCCTTTGCCCTTGGCCGCCGCTGTTGCTGACGATGCACCCTGCTCCCCTTGCTGCTGCTGCTGCAGCTGCTGTGCAGTGGTAGCAGCGGTGGCAGTTGGGGCAACAACACCAGCACCGCGCACGCCATCCTGCTGCTGCACGACCGATGCTGCCTCCTCGTCCTCCTGCGGATTCAGAAAGTCAATCTCCACCGAAAAGCCAACGGGGAAGATCTTGTTCTTCTTGTCCTTGTTCGCCTGGTGGGACCCGGGCGGCGGTGGTGGCAGTGGGGGAAGGTGGAGGAACGTGGAAGGTGGAAAGAGCGAGTGAGTTTAGAGGCATGGGAGGAGATATGGAACGTGGAAAGGGCGAGTGTGTGTGTGTGTGTGTGTGTGTGCGTGAGTGTGTGTGTGTGTGCGTGTGTGTGTGTGTGTGTGTGTGAGCGGGGAGGGATGGAAACGGTTTGAAGAGAGACAAAGGCCCAAAGAGAAGCAATGCGGACGCATGGACACATTCGCAGCACAAGGCAATCGTGGTGATCAGGGGGTGGTGGAGCACACCTTGTCGATTTCCGACTGCTGTGCAACAAACTTGAGGTCGTCAATAAAGAACGTGTTGAACCACAGGTGAAACATCTTCTCCTTCCCCTGCACACACACACACACACACACGCACACAATGAGATGAACGCGCAGATAAGCAAACAATGTGAATCAGCGAGGGGAAGCACGTCAGTGTGTGTGTATCCATCAGTGGGTCGTGTGTGTGTGTGTGCATCAGTGTGTTGTGTGTGTGTTGTGTGCATCAGTGTGAGTGTGTGTAAAACGTGCATCAGATGGTAGGCAGTGTCAAGCGTGCGGTGATGACATGTGGTGGTGATGCTGGTGACATACCGTGCTCTTCCGGTGGATAAACTCCAGCTTGATGTCCCCGCATACAGGCAGCGGCTGCAAACGGGTGCATATGTGTGTGTGTGTGTTTGTGTGTATGTGTACATGTGGTGTGTGCGTACATGTGGTGTGCGTGCGTGCGTGCGAATGGGTGAGTGATGAAAAAGAATAAATACAGAGAGTGTGCGAGAAATGAACAAAGTGCGTACATGTGTGTGTGTGTGTGCGTTCTCACCGCTGGCAGGTCGAGTTCGGCAAACGACTGCTCCCGTGTGATGCCCTGCAATGATGACGACAGTGACAGCAACGGCGATGGTGGTGGTGGTGGTGGCGATGGTGGTGGCGACGTGGGTGCGTCAATCGTTATGCGTGTCGTGAGGTGGTGCCATGTGATCCAACAGACACATTAACACACATGCACAGAGAGACACTCATTGCACTGAGCCTGCCTGCCCCCCCAAAAAAAAACACCTTGTATCTTTACCACGCCACCACCTCCGGCATCATCACCATCACCACCACCACCACCACCACCACCATCATCATCATCATCATCATCATCATCATCAGCGCACCTCATACCACGACGACTTGTAGTTGAGCTGCTTGATGACAAACTGCGGAACGCACGTCCCGTTGCTCATGTCGGGAATGCCGCGGAGCACAATGCGTCGCATGATGAGCATGCGTGGCTCGTACGGCGCCGACGACCGCAGCAGCCGCCCGTAGTAGTGCACGTACCGCACCTGACTCGGGATCGTCACGCCCTGTAGGGGGCGATGGAGTGGGGGTTGGGGTTGGAGAGGGGTTGAAGAGGGGTGGTGGTGGTGGTGGTGGTGGTGGTGAGGGGTTAGGTCAGGCGGGGGAGGATGAGGTGGTGGTTGTTGTTGGAGATACATGTGAGGGGGGCGTTGTGGTTCATGTTGGTCGATGGTGGGGCACATGCCCTGCACGTGACGAACACCCCCCCCCCCCTTGCACCGTCACTCTTCTCCCCTCTCCAAGCACGGCGAGTTCTCACCTTGCCGTTCATTGTGCGCGCATGTCCGTAGAATTCAAGCGCCTCCTGCACACACACATGTGTATAAAGGATGTGCGAGGATGAGCAGGAAGAACAGGCACACACACACAACAAGATTACACACACAAGACAATACACACACAACAAGATTACACACACGCACAAGACAACACACCACATCAGACAAAACAACACAAGACAAGACAAGGCACGGCAGTGTGACGGCAGCACAGACGTTTGTGTCTGTGAAGAGCCTGAGGTGGAGCAGAAAGGCGGTGATCATGACGCCCGTGCGGCCCTTGCCGGCCTTGCAGTGGATCACAGCAACGTTCCTGGTACACAATGCCATGGGTGGCGGCGGTGGTGGTGTGAGGCAATGGTGGTGGTGGTGGTGATGTGAAGTGGTATGAGGCAATGTGGTGGTGGTGGTGGTGAGTGCGCATGCAATGTGTATGGACACCCGTGTCGTGCGTGTGTGTGTGTGTGTGTGTGTGTGTGTGTGTGTGTGTGTGTGTGTGTGTGTGTGTGTGTGTGTGTGTGTGTGTGTGTGTGTGTGTGTGTGTGTGTGTGTGAGTGCGCATGTAATGTGTATGGACACCCGTGTCGTGCGTGTGTGTGTGTGTGTGTGTGTGTATGCTTGTACATGTGCATGTCCGTGTGTTCACCTGCTGTCCCTCTCGAGGTACTCGGCGACGTCTTCGCAAAACTTCTCAATCAGCTGAAACGGCGGTGCGTTGTGATCGTCAAACGGAAACTTTACAACTGCGCGCCAAACCCGTCCATCCGTTGAACCATGAGGTAGGTTGGTCAGTTGTTCAATCGTCGGTGGGTTGGTCGTGGTGTTTCGTGAGATTGCAGGTCGTAAAACAGGGCACCATCATGCACACAAAGGCACAAACACACACACACACACACACACAAGAGGCACAAACACACACACACACACGCACAGGCACAAGAGCACAAGCACACACACACACAAGAGGCACAAACACACAAATGCAAACACACACAGACACCGTCTCATGTGCGCACCACGTCCATAGAATTTGTTGGGGTCGTAGTCGCGCTCAGAGCACCTGCAGTGGTGGTGGCGATAAACGTGATGGACATGGTGGCGACGGTCAGGAATGGAGGAGGGATGCGCACAAACATTACAATGCAACAGCGACACCGCAAGAAGCAGCGTCACAACAACAAGAGCGCCACCTCCCACTCCCATGCTGATAACAGCGAAGCACGAGCAACGCACAGGTTGTAGATTTTGTAGTGGTCACGATGCCTTGTGTCGAAAAACCTGTCATGTCAACAAGAAGGATGACCGTCACAGGGCGGCAACAAGACAGCAAGCGCGGGCGTGAGCCGAACACAGGCAACAGTTGACCACATACCATCGGTCATGCTTCAGACGTGTGCGTGCGCTGTGCGCCACAGAAGCCGCACAACCACAAACGAAAGCACAAAAACAAGGACGCATGGCACAAACAGGCACAAGACACGCGCACGCACCGCTTGACGTCGCGCATGTTGTTGCGGTAGATGCCCTCGCGGCCTTCCGCTGGGAAGCCCATGGCCACAATGTTGCGCGTGATGACTGGCATTGCGCGTATGTGTGTGTGTGTGTGTGTGTGAGTGAGTGTGTGTGTCGGCAGCAGGACGCGCGATGCGCGTCGTGTGCATGCACATCGTGAGATGCATCGAACACGTGCAGGTTGTCGCCAACAATCAAACAGCGCTTCCATTATATGTGCACACGACAACATCAGCGAAATAGCATGCGCTTGGCTCACACATGCACATACACATGCAGTGCGCAACGTCCCCATTTCAAAAACGAACACACACACACACACACACACACACACACACACACACACACACTTACATGTCATGTCAAGGTCGAAGCCATCTTCGATGAAGCGGCGCTTCTTCTTTGACACGAGATGTTTTGCAATGGTGGCCATGGCCTATGTGACGTGTCGCTTGGAGTCGTGGTCACAGCAAGTGATGCGAACAAGAACGACGGAAGGTTTCTTCAACAACGGCGGAACAAAAGGAGAAGAAGGTGAACTAAGGTCGCCGCCACAAAACGCTCAGAGCAGCTTTTGCTGTGCGAAGACTGGAACGCAAAAAGCAAATGCTCGTTTGTTTCGTTTCCAACAGCCTCGTTCTCCCTGTTCCTCGAGAGCCCGCTGCTTGATGTGACGCGATGCACAGACGTTCGAGGGGCCAAGGGATGGGGGTGGTGGATGCGATAGTCGAGGGATATGAGGAGGGGTGGTGGTGCGGTGGTGAGTTGTTGTTTGTGGTTTGGTTGGTGCTTCGTTGGAGCGTTGATGCGACTTGTAGAATATTCGACAATGATTCCCGTTGTTTGTCGCAAATCTGCAATTTGGTGTATTCCACTGCGACTGAATTCAGTTTCGTTCTTCTCGTCCGCCAAAGAAGACAGACTTCTGTGGCAACGCGAGTGCGCTCTGTGTGTGTGTGTGTGTGAGTGCTCTGGGTGCTCTGAGTGTGAGTGTGTGTGCTGTGTGTGTGTGTGTGCTCTGGGTGCTCTGTGTGTGTGTGTGTGCTGTGTGTGTGAGTGCTCTGAGTGTGTGTGTGTGTGTGTGTGTCTGTGCGTGTCTGTCTCTCTCACACTCACACTCACACTCATACACTCTCTCCGTCTTTTCCCCTTTGTGCAGCCCGGACAATAGCGCACAATGGCGTCGCAGTGGAACAGCGCCGGCACATGGGAGGAACGCGACGTCAGCAAGGTGTGTGCAGGGCCGCTCCCAACTTGCCTTTTGCTGCTTCGAAGCAGCTCCAACCAACACATATACGCACGCCCACACTCACATCTTCGTTCACGTTCACGTCCACGTGCACACTCGCATGCACACGCTCTCATCGTCTCTCGTGTCTTGTGTGTGTGTGTGTGTGTGTGTGTGTGTGTGTGTCGACGACTGCAGTGGGCGACGGAGCAGCTGACGAAGCTCCTCGAGCCCCTCAGCGTGGACGCCGCCCCGGTTCAAGCCCAAGTGACAAAGGTGCGCAAGTGTGTGTGTGTGTGTATGTGAAACCTTTGCTCGTTTGTGGTTGTGGTTGTGTGTGTGTGAAACCTCTGTTTGTTTGTGCGTGCACGTGTGCGTGCGTTCGCCTGGTATTGCCATTGTCTTGACATGCTTGCAACCCCTCCCCAATCACCAGCAACCGTGGTATTGATGGCCTCTTTGCTTTGCTGCATCTGACCGACAACAGGTGAAGTGCAATGGGGAGGCGCGAAAGCTCATCGTCCGCGGCAAGCCGCGCGTCGGCTTTGAGTACGAACTCGAACTCAAGTTCAAAGGTGCGGTGTTGGTGTTGTTATTGGTGTGTGTGTGTGTGTGTGTGTGTGTGTGTGTGTGTGTGTTGTGTGTGTGTGTGTGTGTGTGTGTGTGTGTGTGTGTGTGTGTGTGTC